ATTTTACGAATATTGTTGCTGTTTTTGAATCTCTAGATAAAATTTTTTTAAATAAATCTTGATTTAAATAAACCTTGCATTATTGTTTTATTTATATTTTACAGAGTTTATTACAATTGATATATTATCAAAATGTTTATCGTTTAGCCACTATCTGCCAAATGAAACTGAAAACTCCGACTCGCAATTGGTATAAATATGTATGTTTTAACAGAAACATCATTAATCCTTTCATTTTTTATTTTGCTAAAATGGAGTCGAATCAGACTCACTTTTACAAATAAAACAGATAGTTGTGAATTTGGAGTTCTATCAACTTCTGTATTTATCGTATTTTCTTCAATAGATTGAAATAATTACTATCATCGTCGTCATCAACATAATAGTACTCTCCAGAATCATCCAATCATTCTCCTAGAATTAAAATCTTTATAATTTTCTAGAACAATATAAGGATTTGATTCATCATTGAAATATCTTCAATAAGTGTATTGTTAGAAATGACTTTTATTTCTATGATTTGTAGCAAGCAAAAACGATTTTGTTCAAAGATTTTAAATTCTTGTTACAAATGATCTGATCCTGTATAAGATATCTAAAAAGTAAAAAGTTTTTAAAAGCCTTTAAAATGATCAAAAACTTTATTTATTAAATTTTTAGTTTCAACAACGGTTTTTGAACTATCACTCCTCGTTTGACATAACAATATCTATTTCTTAAATTATTTAATACTATTTTGTAATATTATTTTTTTATTTTTTTTTCATTTTTAGTAATGTAAAAAGAAGACAATATTTAATTATGTAACGGAGTTTTAGTTTTTGATTAATAATTTAATTGATTATTTTTACAAAAATAATACGTCAAATTAACATAATTACAATACATTTTTCAATTTTTTTAAAAAAAACTCAAACAATTTCCTTTTTTTTTTGGAGGAGAAAGGGAGGGGTGGGAAGGCGGAGGGTTTGGGAAGGGAGTTAAAATTATTTTTAAGATGTAAATTGTAGTTTTATATTTTTTTTAAACATCCTTGACCGTAATTATGTGTTTTAGGAGAGAAAAAAAAAAAAGGTCAAAAATGTATGTTAGTTGGCCATACTTCCTTTTATTTATCACGGGACATCTGAAGCACTATTGTGTCTCATATCTCCAACCCCAATTTGTCACGCCATACTTAAATAAAAAGAAATAATAAAAATGATATTTTATTTTACAAAGAAACCATCATCAAATATAAATAATAAATTTTAAATTGATATGGCGTTTTTAGTCAAATTAATTAAAAGAAAATTCAATTCAAAATTCAAAAAAAATTTTATTAGTTTTAAAATGTCATACCAAAATACGTTTCACAAGATTTTTATATTTTTCCAATCAAGGCTAAATCATATATTTTAGAGGCCAAGGATATGAGACCATCCAATTATCACATGCTGTGTTATGATATAATTTTGTTGTCCCAATTCGGTCTAAAAGCTGTAGTTTTTGAAATATATAATAGGTGGAATAGTTGAAGCATGAATTCTATTATCTTTACAAAAATTAATTGAATTATGCTGCTAGATGTTTGCTTATTTGTTTGAATGGTGTGTATCATAATTACTAATATCTATAAGCATAAGAGAATCTTTAAAGCATAAGAGAATCTTTGCATCTCACATGATTTAATAAAATTATAACTAGTGTGTGGAGTGTCCTCTGACTAGTGTCTAGTGTCCTTTATTCCTGGTGGTCCATTATCACTAATTCTTGCTTTCAATTTTTGTGGAGAGATTAAAAATTGTGGTAAATGGTTTCCCAAAGTACTTAAACCTGCACACACAGCAATTTTCTGAAGATACTTTTGAAACTTGCTTGATACTTTTACAAGCTACTATTTTTTTGGTTTATGAACAGTAGTAATACCTGACTCAATTACATTCCTAACTTGCTTGGGACTAATTATACCAGTTTAAAAAACTTTTTAAATTCTCAAAAAAGTAGCCTTCATAGTTTCTATTGAAGGCAATAGCACGTGTACAGTATTGGACAAAACAAGTGCATTCAAATAATGCTAATTTAGTTTCTTTATATAAAAGTGCTGCATTTTTTCAATTTAGAGAAATAACTATGTAACTGTTTAGAGACAACGTTCTTTAAGTTTTATTCACCACAAAGTTCATTATTTGTACACGAAAATTAATAAATTAATCAAAAGTATTTAAAAAAGTTGATTTCTTTCTGGACAAAACAAGTGCAACTCCACAAAATGTTGACCAAGCTGTATTTCGCTATCAATATTTCGTGGCAAATCCTTTGTTGTCGATCACAGCCTTGCATCTTCGAGGCAGACTCGATCAGGTGATCAATGAAACTTTGTGGAATCGCTGCCCAGGCCATCACCGATAATTGGTTGTCTTGAAATCACTGCTTGACTACTTTTGCAGTGTGTTTCGGAATGTTGTCTTGCTGAAAAAACCCATTTTATTGGCATATACACACACACACACATTAAACTTGATTTTCGAATTTAACAAACTTGGAAAACTTCAAATTTGATTTCCTAAATTTGAAAAATTAAAAATTGAATAAATTTGATTGAAGTCGACCGAACTTATATTTTACGCTATTGTGTTTTTATTAAGTTTATAAAAAAGTTATTAAAGAATTCAATATTTGATTTCTCTAAATTTTAAATTTTCTATATTTTCTCTTTTTTTTTTTTAATTGTCTCCTGTTATACTTCAGCACCATTTTCCTCATTAAGCACAAAATATGATATTTTAATGGCTATTTAATTTTCCAGTTTTATTTGTAAAGTAAAAAAATACAAGCAAACAAATTTTTTTTTAATTCTAAAGCAACATTTCACTGTCACATATGTTTTTAAACTCTCTAAGACAACATTTCATTCTCGCATTTGTTTTTAAACAATAGTTCTATCGCTTTTTACAGAAATTTGCCGAGTTAGAAAAAAAAAAAGTGTTTTTACGTAAATGTAAAAAAAAAAAAAAAAATTTGTTTGCAAAGTTATCCTGAATTTCATGAACAGGTTGATGAGCGTTTAAAAAATTATTTAATATCCAACTTAGAGAGGCTACTGAGTAGTGAATACTTTCGAGCCATCAAACACAATTATTTTAAAGTATCTGTAATGACATGACATTTTACAGAAAAATATCCCTAATTGTTTTCTATACAATTTTTAACAATTTTTCTTGTTGTTATTTCGGTTTGTAACAATCTCTACATTACACTATACGTTAAACCTCATATTTGAAGTATAATTTGCAATTTCAAGTTTGCTTCTGGTATTCGCAAAGGATTTTTGCCCTCTAAAATAGTTTTTCATGTTAAAAGTTATTTTCAAGTTTGACTTAAGTTTAAGTTGACTCTATGCATACGAAAGAATCAGGTTTAAAGTTTGAATTCAAAATTCAAGTTTGCTTGTCATACCTGTTTTTTCAGTTTTATTATTTTAATTAAAAAAAAAAATGCTTAACCTATTAAATATTTTTTATTAATTTACCAGTATAAGGGATCGTCGCAGCGCTAAGTTGATTTAAAAAAACAAAAGTAGGAGATCTAAATTTTATTCACGCGACAATTTTCATTGAACTTTATTTTTCATTTCAACTATAGACTCTGCGAGAAAAAACTTGATCTATCTCGTTTATTAGTGAAAATTGGCGTCGTGTAATTTAAGGAAGATCCCAAACAAAATATTTCTATAAATAGTTTTATTCATTTTTTCGAATATAACCTAAAAGTAGGCACTTGTTTTTTTTTACCAGATGTTGCAAAGCGTGCTAGCAGATTTTACAAAGCTTGCTACCAGATGTTACGAAAATAATAATTTAGGGGAGGCTGGCACATTTTGATCAAATTTTTACGCAACATGGTAAAACAAACAAAAAAAACGATGTATTACTTTTGCATGTTTAATACACAAGAGGGGGACGTTTATTAATTTTGGGAACATTTTTTTACCTACCCACATTTTCCCGCTAATTAAGACTCCCTCATCCCTCTGTTTATTAAAGGATCTTGTTATCAAAAAAAAAAAAAAAAAAAAAAAAGAATCTCAAAACTGAAAAAAATTGATGTAAACCGGCCTCAAAAAATTAGTAATTGTATACATCAGTCACTGATAAAAATAAAAACTTTGAGTGAAATCTTTGTTCGACCTATAAAAAAAGTATCAAGCTGAATTAAGAGGTTTTGATTATAGGCAGACGATAAATTGAATTAAGATTTGATTAGAAAAAAATCCCGAACATCCTTTAATTAAAACCCTCCAATTTATTAGATCTTGACTAAAACTCCTATTATTCTTTGAATTTAACACGCGAGATTAAGGTATATACTATTTGACAGATAATATACATGATTTCAAATAAGTTTAGTTTTTTTTTTTAAATTAAGCAATTCTTGGAAAAAACAAAATTTAAAAATATTGTAAAAAACAAGTACCCATGTTACTTCATTTACAAAATTTGGAAAAAGCTGCTTCAAAAGTTAAAATAATGTTCTTGAAAACAATAGGCTAAATGTTTAATATATATATATATATATATATATATATATATATATATATATATATATATATATATATATATATCGTAAAATGAATAAAAATCTGTAATATCTAAAGCTCTCTATCCACCAAGATGAAATTAGAGAAAAACCAAAGATTATGAAAGTCTACATAAGAGTATTTTGTCAGGTATTACATTTATTTAGTTTTTATGGTTTGAGGGGGCATCAAACCACGTCATTTTTGATTTTGAATTCAGCATTTTAACCACTAAAAAGTTTAATGTAGTTAAATAAATAATAAAAAGTTTAGTTAAAATTAAAAGCCTTAAAATTTAACAAAATGAGAAAAACGATTCAAAACAGTTTAAAAAAAAAGAATTTATTTTTCTTATAATAATTAAAACCATGCGAATGATATATACAATGTTATGTAAAGAGCAAATTATATACAATGATGATATACAATAGTACGTAAATAAATTATAGTTTACATATATATCTTCAATAAATATTACACAACATTTGTATACTTGACATTAATAATATTCAATAACATATTTTTTTAAATAGTTTTTTTGAAAAACGCTTAAAAAACTAAATGTTATTTTACGCCAAACAAAAAATAAAATTGTAATTATTTAAAATCTTATGATAATTAAAAACTACAGAAAATGCATGCGAAAGAAATTTTACAAAAAAATTGCGACAAAATTTCTAATAACTTAAGAAATTATAAAAATTTAAGAATATATAACAAAGAAACTATTTAAAAAGGGCAACAACAAAAGATAGACCAATAACTAATTTTTCACATAATTTTTATTGCTTTATAAAAATGTCCTGAAGCCGTACAATAGCTACGTACAAGAATTTACTTAAGGAACTTTATAAATATTAAGTAAATTTTCATCTCTAAAAAAGAAATACATCATATTTATATTTATGAAATTATATATATATTTATTTTTACCGAGATTTATTTATACTTTCTCGTCTCTCTCTTTACATACATACATACATACATACGTACATACATAAATACATATATATATATATACATACATTCATGCATACAAACATATATACCTACATCCAAGCCTATATACATCTGCATCAGTCCTAAATTCGAATTTGTGCTCTTTTTTTTTTTACAAATAAATAAATTAGGACTTTTTTTAAATGTTTTGTTAACGGTCAATTTTAATGATAGGTTTTTTGCTAAAGTTTGCTTAATTTTTATGCTTGCTTATTTGCTAAAATTAGCTTAATGCTTAGTTGCTTTGCTCATTGTTGATTTATTTCTAACCCGGACAGGTCAGTTGGTTAGAGCGCTGATTAAGTTTGTAATTATTATAAGCCGTAGCAGCAGGATTACAGGTTCAAATACCGGCTCGCCACTCAGTGTATGAATAATACTTTGGTACGATGTGAACTCGTCTTAATTAGCTCTGCTATAACGATGTTTACTTCTCGACTAGTAAGTAAACAATCTAGTCGAGTAAATAAAAATTATCGTTTATCGTTTATCTACCTATATTCTAGGAAATAAACTTAGAAATAAAATTAAATAAGAAATAAATCAACAATAAGCAACAAAAACTTTATTAGACTATTTTGAAATGTTCAAAGCAATTTGTAAATTGTGCAAAATAAAAAAAAAAACATCTGGCACATTTCTTGATTTTTAACTTATCTATTATAGTTTTACTGTATAGTTTGGATCCATAAATCAAATAATTGCATTCCTAAATTATAGATACCAATGCAGGGAGATCCTGATAAAAATCAGTTCAACAAGTATTTGAAAGTTTAGTGACCAAGACCGATGCTTTATTAATAAATATATATATATATATATATATATATATATATATATATATATATATATATATATATATATATATATATATATATATATATATATATATATATATATATATATATATATATTCAGGCCTGTACCGTGAAAGTTTTTAGGCGGATGGGGAAGGGTAATAAGGTCGTATTTGAAAAAAAAAGGCAGTTCAGAATAGCAAAGCGAAATCTTGCACAATTTTTATGTAAAAACTTCCATGAAACAAGAGAAGTTGGTAGTAAAAGAAGGAGTCGATTGCAACCAACGACCTCCCTCCGAGCATATATATGTATGAGTGTGTGTGTATATATATATATATATATATATATATATATATATATATATATATATATATATATATATATATATATATATATATATATATATATATATATATATATATATACTTTGTGAATTAAAAAATAGAATAATTTTTTTTTAAATTCAAGATTTTAGTAGCGACTAAAAGTTGCTATTTAATTTCAGAAAAAAGATTCCAAAATTCCATTGCTGTACTAGAAAATTTTGAGGCACTTTTTTATATCTGAACAAACATATTATTTACTGTGAAATAATACAATCAGTAACAATAATTTCCTATTTGAATTAAAAAAAAAAATTCTGTACAAAATATTGTACCCAATAAAAATATTAAAAAAATATATGTATTTTTCTCATCTTTTACAAATTCATTATGCTTCGATAACAAGATAAGTGGATTGTTATCTCATACATGCATACACGAATGAGATAACAAACTGTTTACTAAGGGGTTATCAAATTTTTTTTGTATATATATAAATAACGTTTTTTTTAACCTCTTAATACACAGGCTCACGGAGTTTGAAAAGCCGTCAAAATAATTTATTTTTTTTGCGATATTGTGTTGAAATATCTTATTACTGAAATGTTGCTTAAGAGCCATTATCTGAGAAAGATAGGCAAAGTCTGGAAGTGATGTCTTTAAAATCTCTTTATTTTCAGATATCTTATAAAACACAATGAAATTAGGCCACAGTTAAATTTTTTTTCGAAAACTCCCATTATTTGCGGAGATATCGGGGGCCGAAATTTGGCCCATTTTGTAAAAATATTGGTGCATGAAATGGAATTACTACTTTTAGGGACAATTTTAGCAATATGAACTTGAGAAACACATTTCTTTTTCTTTTTTCTATTACTCTAGCTGGATTTCTCTGCTTAAAATAAAAATTCAAAATGTTTACACTTTTTGTTGTCTAGAAATCACGGTTCAAAACCGCTAAATTTGAAATTTTACCCGTACTTTGACCATTTATATCTCCTAAGGCCATTACTTGCACATAATTTACTTAACTGTTTTTGAAAGCCAATAAGGTATACATTGAATTTATAGAAAAAAAATTATGAGTATGCAAGAGCCTGAGAAAGAGTAAGCTTCCAAAAATGAATTTTCGCGGTTAATACGCTTTGTTAGATTACAAATAACAATCGTGGCCTTAGGTCTGCCATGAAACGTATAAGTTATTTTGTTACCTTATACATGCATCTTCCAATATCTGAAAAAAAATTCATGTGCTCAAGCGATAAAAAGCCTAGAGAAGTCCTAGAAATAGTCTTATTTTGCCATATTCTTAACCAACAAAATACCCTAGCAACGACATAGATATGCTTAGCAACGGCTACTTTTACTCTTTAATAGTTAGTACTCAAATTAAAAATAAATAAATAATACATTTTTACAACAAAACTGTATAAACTGTACAAAAGTGCTTGATAAAAATTATTTTTTAAGCTTTTTTAATGTAACAAAATACGCAACAATAGGTTCAAAGAATGCGATGGCAAAAGTGTAATAACCAAAGTAAGGAAGTGACATTAAAGATACTTTTTTTAATGACTGTAATGATTGCTACACAAGCAATTCCCTTTGGGCAGTCATTTGTAATACTTTCTTTAGACAATTATTAATGATTGCAAGACTATTTCCTTGGAGACACATTCTTCTCGAAGAATTAGCACATGAATTTAATAAATAGCCATAGCATGAGATGAGAAACTACGAAATAAAGTTTTTTTGTTTTGTTATCTTTTGTTTATTCAATAAAAAATAATAAAATAAAAAATAAAAGTTAAATACAAAATGTCAGAGAGCAACAATATAGTCAATCTCTATGAAAAATGCGTGTATTTTGATAAAGGACAGACTTCTTGTGGCGCTTTTAAGCGTTGGAAACAACATGGGATCTTTCAAATTAATGAATTAACTGCTGACATAAGTAATCATTTAAAAGTACTAAAGGTATAATTTATCAATTAATATATATATTTTTAATTATAAGCAACAATACCTCCAACAAATAGATGACAAATTTAACATTACTGTTTTATAGTTACCGCAGACAAACCAGTATAATGAAAAAACTCTAATTGAAAGTCGATTACAAACTTATCTTTCATGCGACGATTGGTTATGTGCATACCACCGTTTTTCTTTTGGTATTGGATGGAAGCCGCCAAACAGATGTCAATACCTAAGTCATATATTTCAAGTTGGTAAAAAAGCACCAAAAATTAGATCCATACCTTTGAATACCCTTGCTACTTATAATAAAAGTAATTCATCGCTACCTATTGGAGCCGTATTTTGCTTCAAGCACCTAAAAACTATTTTAATAGATAATATTATTGACATGATAGAACCAATTCCAACAGTAAAGTCTAGCTCTTATGTTGATAAAGTTTATGTTCCAGATTTAGCAATCATTTCAGATAAGACCATCGAAGAATCAAAATTAAAAGCTAGTTCTTTGTGTGAAGCACTAGGAGCAAGTCCACTGTCTTTTCACATAACGCAAAAGCAAATAGAAGACTTAACACAAGAAACTAAACAGAAAGTTAAAAAAAATTTGAGAAATGTAAAGTGCAGCTCGAGAAGATATTTGCTGAAGCAATTGCACCTGGTCAATCAGAAGCACTTATAACCCAAGTATTAAACAGTGAAGATGAAAATGTTGCAACTGAAATGGTTCCAGAAGACCTAATTGTACAAGTTAAGATGTTCCAAGAAAGCGATTCTTTAGGAAAAATTCTTTTACTTTCAGTTGTTAATCATAATAAGTACACTAAAGAGACATTAATGAAAGTCTTTGATTGCAAAAAACATCAAATAGAAAAAGGACGCAAGTTGCAGAAAGAAAACATTGGACTTTCCATACCAAAGAAGGGTAAGGTAAAAATATGCCGAATGCCTCAAGAAAAAATTGAACATTTTTTGGAATTTTTATTTTCTCGAGGTCTGCTTCAAGATGTAGCATATGGTATAAATAAAATAAAGTTTGACAACAGAGAGAAACAAAAAGTGGCTAATGCCATTTTGATGATGAAGTTTAGCCATACAATCACATTTTATAAAGAAATTTGCCTAGAAACTAATTATGTCCCTATGTCAGATAGTTCTTTATGGAGAATTCTTTGTGGAATAAAACCTTCTCAAAGGAAATCTTTAGCTGGTCTTGATGTTACAGCAGCTGGCATGAACGGTTTCCAAACATTAATTGCCATTTCTGAGAAGTGGAAATATAAAAATGTTACTAAGTTTCTTGAAAAAGGTAAAAGGTATCTGAAGAGTAATTATCCTTCCAAATGTAGTGAAAATTCAACTTTGCATAGTCACTCAACTTCATTTGCCCTTTCGGATATAGATCCGGACTTAAACCAATCAAACATAACCGCTGACGATGAACTATGCATTGACTGTACTGACCTCATTTCAGTAATCAATCAGGTTCGTGAGTTGGTTATACAAAGTGAAGATGAAGATCTACTATATGATTTAAATGTGGCTACAGAAGATGTTGAAGCCTATATGAAACATCAAATTCGTGATGCGCAGCAAAAAATGACCAAAATAATGGCTTTTGAGCAACTTGATGAGGAAACAGGATTTTGGCTAAAGGATTTTTGTCAAAAAATATTGCCCGCTAAATTCCGTGAAGGCCAAAAAGAATTTTGGGAAAAAAGGAATGACTCTACATGTTGATGTCTTCTTCTTCTATGAAAATGGTAGAATGAAAAA